TCCTTTCTGGATCATCCAAATGCACTCTAGCAAACTTCAGACGGGCCTGGACATGTACTGGCTTAAGCAGGGGGACACGTCTGGCATTGCAGGATTTAAGTCCCTGGCGGCGTAGTGTGTTACTGATGGTAGGCTTTGTTACTTATGTCCCAGCTCTCTGCAGGTCATTCACTAGGTCCCCCCGTGTGGTTCTGGGATTTTTGCTCACCGGTCTTGTGATTATTTTGACCCCACGGGGTGAGATCTTTCGTGGAGCCCCAGATCGAGGGAGATTATCAGTGATCTTGTATGCCTTCCATTTCCTAATAATTGCTCCCACAGTTGATTTCTTCAAACCAAGCTGCTTACTTATTGCAGATTCAGTCTTCCCAGCCTGGTGCAAGTCTACAATATTGTTTCTGGTGTCCTTTGACAGCTCTTTGGTCTTGGCCATAGTGGAGTTTGGAGTGTGACTGTTTGAGCTTGTGGGCAAGTGTATTTTATACTGATAACAAGTTCAAACAGGTGCCATTAATACAGGTAACGAGTGGAGGACAGAGGAGCCTCTTAAAGAAGAAGTTAAAGGTCTGTGAGAGACAGAAATCTTGCTTGTTTGTAGGTGACCAAATACTTATTTTCCACCATAATTTGCAAATAAATTCATTAAAAATCCTACAATGTGATTTTCTGGAATTTTTTTCCTCAATTTGTCTGTCATAGTTGACGTGTACCTATGATGAAAATTGCAGGCCTCTCTCATCTTTTTAAGTGGGAGAACTTGCACAATTGGTGGCTGACTAAATACTTTTTTTCCCCACTGTACCTGCTGGAGCGCATACTATGGGTGGGTGTTGCTATGGTGACTAATGAGCTAAGATAAGGCAGGGATTTGCCTAGCAGTGATTTATAGATGGCCTGGAGCCAGTGGGTTTGGCGACAAATATGGAGTGAGGACCAGCCAACAAGAGCGTACAGGTCACAGTGGTGGGTAGTATAGGGGGCTTTGGTGACAAAACTGATGGCAATTTGCTGAGTAGAGTGTTGGAGGCTATTTTATAAATGACATTGCCGAAGTCAAGGATCGGTAGGATAGTCAGTTTTACGAGGGCATGTTTGGCAGCATGAGTGAAGGAGGCTTTGTTGCGAAATAGGAAGCAGATTCTAGATTTAACTTTGGATTGGAGATTCTTAATGTGAGTCTGGAAGGAGAGTTTACAGTCTAACCAGACACCTAGGTATTTGTAGTTGTCCACATACTCTAGGTCAGACCCGTCGAGAGTAGTGATTCTAGTCAGGTGGGCGGGTGCCAGCAGCGTTCGATTGAAGAGCATGCATTTAGTTTTACTTGTGTTTAAGAGCAGTTGGAGGCTACGGAAGGAGTGTTGTATGGCATTGAAGCTCGTTTGGAGGTTTGTTAGCACAGTGTCCAATGAAGGGCCAGATGTATACAAAATGGTGTTGTCTGCGTAGAGGTGGATCTGAGAATCAAGCAGCAAGTGCGACATCATTGATATACACAGAGAAAAGTCAGTGATCTGTTTGTTAACTTGGCTTTCAAAAACGTTCGAAAGGCAGAATGGATATAGGTCTGTAAAAGTTTGGATCTAGAGTGTCCCCCCTTTGAAGAAGGGGATGACCGCGGCAGCTTTCCAATCTCTGGGGATCTCAGACGTTACGAAAGAGAGGTTGAACAGGCTAGTAACAGGGGTTGCAACAATTTTGGCAGCTAATTTTAGAAAGAAAGGGTCTAGATTGTCTAGCCCAGATGATTTGTAGGGGTCCAGATTTTGCAGCTCTTTCAGAACATCAGCTGTCTGAATTTGTGTGAAGGAGAAGCGGTGGGGGGGGGGGGGGGGGGGGGGGGGGGCATGGGCAAGTTGCAGTGGAGGGTGCTGATATGGTGACCGGGGTAGTGGTAGCCAGGTGGAAAGCATGGCCAGCCGTAGCAAAATGCTTGTTGAAATTCTTGATTATTGTAGATTTATGGTGATAGTGTTTCCTAGCCTCAGTGCAGTGGGCAGCTGGGAGGAGGTGCTCTTATTCTTACATAAGTATTCAGACCCTTTGTTATGAGACTCGAAATTGAGCTCAGGTGCATCCTGTTTCCATTGATCATCCTTGAGATGTTTCTACAACTTGATTGGAGTCCACCTGTGGTAAATTCAATTGATTGGACATGATTTGGAAAGGCACACACCTGTCTATATAAGGTCCCACAGTTGACAGTGCATGTCAGAGCAAAAACCAAGCCATGAGGTCAAAGGAATTGTCTGTAGAGCTCCGAGACAGGATTGTGTCGAGGCACAGATCTGGGGAAGGGTACCAAAAAATTTCTGTAGCATTGAAGGTCCCCAAGAACACAGTGGCCTCCATCATTCTTAAATGGAAGAAGTTTGGAACCACCAAGACTCTTCCTAGAGCTGTCCGCCCGGCCAAACTGAGCAATCGGGGGAGAAGGGCCTTTGTCAGGGAGGTGACCAAGAACACGATGGTCACTCTGACAGAGCTCCAGAGTTCCTGTGTGGAGATGGGAGAACCTTACAGAAGGACAACCATCTCTGCAGCACTCCACCAATCATGCCTTTATGGTAGAGTGGCCAGACAGAAGCCATTCCTCACTAAAAGGAACATGACAGCCTGCTTGGAGTTTGCCAAAGGGCACCTAAAGGCCTCTCAGACCATGAGAAACAAGATTCTCTGGTCTGATGAAACCAAGATTGAACTCTTTGGTCTGAATGCCAAGCCTCACATCTGGTGGAAACCTGGCACCATCCCTACGGTGAAGCGTGGTGGTGGCAGCATCAAATATGAACTGAGCAAAGTACAGAGAGGTCCTTGATGAAAACCTGCTCCAGAGCTCTCAGGACCTCAGACTGGGGCAAAGGTTCACCTTCCAACAGGACAACGACCCTAAGCACACAGCCAAGACAACGCAGGAGTGGCTTCGGGACAAGTCTCTGAATGTCCTTGAGTGGCCCAGCCTGATCCCGGACTTGAACCCAATCTAACATCTCTGGAGAGACCTGAAAATAGCTGTGCAGCGACGCTCCTCATCCAACCTGACAGAGCTTGAGAGGATCAGCAGAGAAGAATGGGAGAAACTTCCCAAATACAGGTGTGCCAAGCTTGTAGCGTCATACCCAAGAAGACTCGAGGCTGTAATCGCTGCCAAAGGTGCTTCAACAAAGTACTGAGTAAAGGTTCTGAAGATCAAGTGTAATATATTGTAAAAATAAAGCGAACTGGATGGAATATGGGGAAAAATGCACTAAATTATTTTTTTATCTTCAACATAGAAATGCTACCAAAAGGAATTTACTGAAACTTGTTACAAATGACGGAGTCACCCATGATTCACCAAACAATATTTTGAAAGAGGAAGCAAAGTACTTTTGTTTCAGTCTCCTCCATCTCCACTAACCTAAGTTAATTGTATGGATTTTTTTTCTATTAATAATGTAAAATTAACAGCTGTACAGAAAGTCTCATGTGACCGCGAAATTACACAGGAGGAACTTCTTGATGCAATTAAAGCCTTTAAGTCCGGGATAGCTCCAGGGCTGGATGGCATACCAGTTGAGATATACCAAACTTTTTTTGATGTACTCAGAGGAACGTTATTAGCATATTTTAACCACTCCTATAAAAATGGTAGATTATCAGATACTCAACAAGAAGTTCTGATTTCATTTTTACTGAAACAGGACCCAAGTGGTAAATATAAAGATCCATTAAAAAAATTAGAGGCCCCTTACACTTCAGTGTTGTGATGCAAAAATGTAAAAGGTATTGTCGGATATTATTAATCCTAATCAGACAGGTTTTTTACATGGACGATACATTGGAGATAATATAAGACAAGTACTGGAAACAATAGAACACTATGAAAAATCTGGGAAACCAGACCTGGTATTCATAGCTGACTTTGAAAAGGCTTTTCAATTTTGGAGAATCTCTTTATACAATGGGTTAAAGTTATGTATAGTAACCCTAGGTGTAAAATAGTAAATAATGGCTACTTCTCTGAAAGCTTTAAACTGTCAAGAGGAGTGAAACAAGGTTGTCCACTATCGGTATATCTATTTATTATGGCCATCAAAATGTTAGCTATTCAAATCAATTCTAACAATAATATCAAGGGGCTAGAAATCCAGGGCTTAAAAACAAAGGTGTCATTGTACGCTGATGATTTAATTTGGATCCCTCCACAGCCTCATAGAGGATCTAGATAATTTTTCTAACCTCTCTGGATTACAGCCAAATGATGATAAGTGTTCTATATTACGTATTGGATCACAAAAAAATACAACTACATTACCGTGTACCAATAAAATGGTCTGACAGTGAAGTGGACATACTCGGTATTCATATCCCAAAAGAAAGAAATGATCTCACTAAAATACATTTGAATAGAAAGTTAGCAAAAATAGATAAGATCTTGCTACAATGGAATGGAAAATCACCCTGATTTATCTCTTTAGTCATTTCCCAGTTTACCTATTTGCTTATGGCCTTGCCTACACCTAGTGACCTTTTAGTGATCCAATACGTAGTATAGTACACTAATCATAATTTGGTTGTAATCCAGAGAGGTTATAAAACGTATCTAGATCCTCTATGAGGCTGTGGAGGGATCGAAATTGTGGATTTAAAAGAAAACATGAATCATCAGTGTACAATGACACCTTTGTTTTTAAGCCCTGGATTTGGCATTGTTGTAGTAGCTACAGCACCGTAGCTCCACTTCGCTCTGGGGTGAAGTTTCCGCTAGGTACAGATCTAGGATCAGCTTCCCCTCCCCCAATACTAACCTTAACCATTAGTAAGGAAAATGCTAAACTGATTCAAGATCAGCATCTAGGGGCAACTTCACCCTACACCAGGTAGGTATACTTCTGTTTGAATTATACTTTTGTTTTCCTCTCTATGATATCATAGTATAAAACAAATTGTTTTCCAGGGCCTATAGACCCATGTGGTGTCACGAAGACATCTCACCCAAGAACCCCAACTCAAAAAGCATGGAGCAGCTTGCCAATTTATTGTGTCACGTGGTGTCGGTGTTCAAAGAGTCCAAGTCAGGTAATCCTCCCTAAGATCCTACCTTACCACACTACATGGTCATGACCGTCATGCTGGAACCACTGCACTTTCATTCACCTATTGCCTTGTAATCGGACTCCTACCCAGGTAGACATCAGTGTGTGTGTGTATATGCCTGCATGCCCATGATTTGTGCACGTGTGTTTTATACCTCTCATGTGTGGGCCAGACTTCCACCTGGAGCAGCAGTTGAGTGACGTAGCTCTGCAGACGGGTCTGTGTAGCTCGTCGCGCCACTATGCCGGGAGGTCCTTCCAGGTGTTCCGGGTGCTGCGGCAGCCGCTCTCGGCCCACTCCATCTCCGACCTGCTCTCACGACTGGTGGAGGTGGTGGGGGAGCACGGGGAGGAAGTACAGGTGTGTGTGGGTGGGCGGAGGGAAGGTGGGAGTGTGTGTGCAGGGTAGGGGGAGTGTGTGTGTGTGTGTGTGTTGTCTGCCTGTCTGTTCCTCTGTGTATGTGTGTGTGCCTGTGTGCGTGTGTCTGTGTGAGAATGGGATGTGATGTGGGCTTGGGATGGGATGTGGGCTTGGGATGGGATGTGGGCTTGGGATGTGATTTGGGCTTGGGATGTGGGCTTGGGATGTGGGCTTGGGATGGGATGTGGGCTTGGGATGGGGTGTGATGTGGGCTTGGGATGGGATGTGATGTGGGCTTGGATGGTTGTATAGGTACCCAGTTTTAATGTCCTCCTGCTCTTCCAGGGTTATGTGATGGAGATGTTGCTCACCTTAGAGTCTGTGGTGGACAACCTGGCTGAATGTCTCAAGAACAACAATCTAATGGCTATCCTGACCAGGTTGGTTTACAGGTCTCTTTCACTGACAGCATGACAAAAAAAAAATACCTTGACAGAGACACTTAAATGTAGCTAGATGGGGATATAGTACAGTACAGTACAGAAAGTGCGTTGCAGAACGAACCGTTACCTCCAGGGTACCTCATGTGGTCTGGGGACGGCAGCACTACTACTAGACCAGCTAATGGACCTTTATATTAGCCTGGAACACTCACTGCATAAGACTGGCATTATATAAAAACTAAATAGTCCGCCAATGGATCACCTTCAACCAATCAGAAGGCCAAATCTTTTGACGTTATCCAAACGCAACATAAGCTAAATCCGCCCGTAGTTGCTGAGAGGACACTAGTTACTTTCAAGCCTGTCCAAGTGCCCCTCTATTGGAGAAAGTTCTGACTGAATTGGTGAAGTGAACCAGAAAGTGGTAGCTGCAGCAACAGAGTTCACACATCTATTATCCCTTCAAACCTTACAACCCAGCACCCAAAGATGTTTGTACGAACAATTTAGAGTTGAGTACGCCAATCTATTATTAGGTATTTGTATGCCAGGTTGTTAAGGGTTTGAACTCATCGCTAGTCTCTTATTGGCTCTCTAGGGCATCCTCAGACTTACTGGCCAATGGCAAGCTGGTGTCCAACAGGAAGAGCACGGGGCAGCTGAACCTGTTCCAGCAGGGCCTGGGGACATCCGAGCGCAGCCGCCACCAGAGGAGCTACTCCGTCCCCAAGAAGTTTGGCGAGGCGGACCGCTCATCCGACCCTCCTCGCAGCGGTACACTGGACCCCATCCAGGCCTGCACCCAGCAGGGAGGGCTGACCAAGAACCGCAGGTAGGGGACAGCAAGTAGCCTAGTAGACTACAGCAGTTTTTCTCAATCCTTTCCTTTGGCATTTCCCAGTCGGTTTGAGGTCATGTTCATTAGGATACACCTTGGCAAAACGTTTAATGAAAAATGTGCTAAGTCTTGGAGGTGCCACAAGGGGCATCGATTAGATAGAAAGCCAACAATATGATTTCCTCCAAAGAAATAAACACATTCCTCTCCTACGCAGTCCATTCTCTTCCAAAGAACTCCTCAGTGACCCGGCCAACGTCAACCACCCGTCCAACCTGCTAGCCACCATCTTCTGGGTGGCCGTGTCCCTGATGGAGTCAGACTTTGAGTTTGAGTACCAGATGTCCCTGCGGCTGCTCCACAAGCTGCTGGCCCACGTGGCCCTGGACAAGCAGGAGAACAGGGAGCGGCTGGAGAAGCTGCAGGGCCAGCTGAGGTGGAGCGGCTTCGCCGGGCTCCAGCAGCTGCTCCTCAAGGGCTTCACGTCCACCTCCACCACCGACCTCACCCTGCACATCTTCTGCCAGCTCACGCCTGTCTCGCTGGTACCCGTGGTGGACACCTCCCAGAACATAGGTAGGTTATCTGTGGTCCTGTGTGACTCAATTGGTTAAGCAAGGCTCTTGCAATGCTATGGTCAAGGATTAAATTCCAGCTTGGGGTATGATCTTTGACCCTCTGTAGCTTTCTCATTCATCGTTATCTTTACCAAGGGTGTCAATAATTTCGGATCCCACTGTAAATTGTATGTACTCACAGCAGGCCATTTGTGACTTCTTAACTTAGCTCACACAAGCCATCGGTACATAAACTAAATGCTCTACTCACTTCAGCTATCTATTGATTTTTATATTATGACCTTTATTTATACAGGTGAGTCAATTAAGAACATGCTTTTTTGTTATTAACAAGACGACCTGTGATGAGCTGATGATAACGTTAATTCAGTTCCTCACAATTCATACTGGTTTCAATACCAGCTAAAGTTGGGCATACATTTGCTTCCAAATAAGAAAATATGTTTATTGATGTCATGGAAAAATAAAAGAGGAAGAAAGACATTACATTTACTATTTTTCCTTGTCCATTGTAGCGTCAGGTGTGTTCTTTGTCTGTCTCTCATTTTTATTTATTTTATGCCATCACTGTAGCAGTTTGCGATTGTCTTTCAATGAAAAGTGTGTTATAAATGAAAGGTATTGTTACTATTGATCATTTCTGAGGAAATTGGAATCCCTATTTCTCCTGTTGCCCAGGTTTCCCTCTGAACGTTCTCTGTCTGCTCCCACACCTGGTCCACAACTTCGACGGCCCCTCCCAGTTCTGTAAAGACGTGGCTCAGAGAATAGCTCAGGTTAGTCTCCTCGTCAACTTTCCAGTCAATGTTCCTTATTTAATAGATAAACAAGGACTTAACACATGCAAATCGTGGTGAGTTATGTACATTTTCTCCAGAAATTAAGTAAATGTAAAGTATATACAGTAAATGTCATCTTGGTTGTTTGGAAATCGATTTCATGTCAATCTAAATCATTATTAATTATGATTCATTGCCAATATGTACAGTAAATATTTTCTGCTTTTTGCTTGGATGGCCAGGTATGCCTAGAGGAGAAGAAACTGTCCAACTTGGCCCATGTGATGACCCTGTACAAAACACACTCGTACACGCGGGACTGCTTTTCCTGGGTCAATGTCGTCTGTCGCTATCTCCACGAGGCCTTCTCCGACATCACCCTTAACATGGTCACTTACATGGCCGAGGTCTGTATGGCTGTTCTATGGATAACCATACTCCTCTTAAGTCTGATTCACACTATAGGGCCAAACCAATCCAGTTCAAGACGAACTGTACAGGGCGGGTCTGGTTAGGCATCCACCATACTTGCTGGAACCTTGCGGGAAAGTACAATGTGAGAAGAAAATATCCGAGCCAGCATAGTGCTGTTCAGGTCAGCCCTATAGTGTGAATTAGCCATAAGAGTTTCTGATACATAAATTAAGTTTCTCCTCAAGTAATATGGATCGATGGATTGATCGATCAATGTAGGGCTTTCCATCCATTCCAGACTGTGTCGTTAACTGTGAGTGTGTTCTGATTGGCCAGTTGTTGGAGAAGGGTCTACCCAGCATGCAGCAGACCTTGCTCCAGATCATCTACAGCCTGCTGAGTCACATGGACCTGTCAGTCATTCAGGCCAAGCCATTCAATATGGAGGTCCTCAAGACCATCGAGAAGTTTGTCCAGGTGAGAGGAACATGACGTTGTTCTTAGTGAAATAATATTTTCAGCCATCAAAACTGGGCAAAACTCACAATGATGTTATTTCAACCAGTTTTGTCCACTGGGTAGTGACAAACACAGCTTTGTGTGGTATCTTGGCATTAAGCAACAAGAGCAATCAGGAAGTAGAAGAGATCCTTTCTCTGGCCCAGAGAACTCCACCAGTACAATAATAAACATTTGGTCTGACTGATGGAGAAACTAGATGCAATCACAAGACAATTAAAAGTATTTGCAAGAAAATTGATAACATATAGCTTATCATGTGACATGCCAAGACACCACACAAAAACTAAACTTCCTGATTTGACCTTGTTTTGAAACTTGGTCATTAAGAAACGCTATCGGCCATGACTCAAGCCAAACGATATTTGTCTTGGGGGTGTGGTTTGATGTGGGTGTTTCTTGGGTGTCTTTGCAATTCAATTACAACAAACAAGGGCAGTAGTGAGTACAGCGAGGTATGTTAAGCTAGCTTTGAGAACAAAGTTTTGAAGTTGTGGACTTCTCCCCTCCTGACTGACTGGCCATTTCAAGATGGTTAGCCAATTCAGTTCTACTGTATGTATAGGCTAAATCCTCTGCTGAACTTGTGTTTAGCCAAGCTGACAGCAGCTAGCATAGCTTGGGGATAGATAATAATAAATAATATGCCATTTAGCAGACGCTTTTATCCAAAGCGACTTACAGTCATGCGTGCATACATTTTTGTGTATGGGTGGTCCCGGGGATCGAACCCACTACCTTGGCGTTACAAGCGCCGTGCTCTACCAGCTGAGCTACAGAGGACCAGCAGCTGGACCCTTATAGATGCAGCTGGACCCTTATAGAAAAAGATACCCGTTTTGAAATTGCAGTAAAAGTGCAGTAACTACAGTCGACTGGTATTTTGGACGCAGTAATTGCAGAATAACTGCGGTGTACTACAGTTGAACTGCAGTTACAGTGTATACTGTGGTAGAAATTCTATAGGAAGAGAGACTGCAGAATCTTTAAAACAACAACTTTATTATAAAATTAGCAGAAATTGAGATATCAACCATCCACTCAACAATGCATTGTTGAAAGCCCAACGACCACGGTTGGCTCTCTCCTTTTATAGAAAGTACATCCTCTTATCAATGTGACAGTTAGCAGATGTTCAGAAACAGGGCCAGGGAACAGAGTTGTATCGCCACCATTCTCTGTTCCTCCCGGCAATTCCCACATAGCTAAATTCCTGCCGATCGTGAACACAGGAGCACCCAACGGCTCATAAATCTGTACACTCAGATTCATGACTAAGTCACACAATACAAGTGTGTATCAGTAAAAATACTAGCATTTAACAATGGACAATCTTTAGGTAAAAACAGTATAGTATGTCTAATTAAAAAGTATAGTATGTAATGAATATTAATTTCCACCACAATACCGCACTCTAACTGCAGTTACACTGCAAAATTACTGCAGTAAAAAAATATGTTATTTTGGACGCAGTATTTGGAGCATACTGTAGTTATACTGCAGTTATACTGCACTCTGACTGCAATCTTTTTTTGTAATGGGCTAGCCTATCTAGCTGATATTTTTCTGTCAAATATAGCAAGAGCCAGTGTCTGGAATGCGTTTCATAACACAATCATTCTACGAAAGTAGCTTGCAGCTTAGTTTCAAAGTTTAATTGTGTCATGTTAAGACATGTTACCATGGAAACGGTATCAACTGTGAGTTGAATGCCCGGTCTTAAGTCAGCTCAGCTGTCCACAACACAATATTCTACATATAACTGGATAGTTTTGTCTTGTCTCGTCTCTCCTTATGTCCGCTGTTAGATCTTACCCGGGGGGAAAATCCCAGAACTACTAATATCCCTACAGGTGTAGGCTACATGTGGACATTGCACAAACATCACCCAGCTTGAATGTCAGGTGCAGACCCCTTGACTTTTTCCCGATTTTGTTACGTTACAGCCTTATTCTAAAATGGATTCATTAAAATGTTTTCCACATTAATCTACACACAATAACAAAGCAAAAACAGGTTTTTAGAAATATTTGCACATTTATTACAAATAAAAAACAGATACCTTATTTACATAAGTATTCAGACCCTTTGCTATGAGACTTAAAATTGAGCTCAGGTGCATCATGTTTCCATTGATCATCCTTGAGATGTTTCTACAACTTGATTGGGGTCCACCTGTGGTAAATTCAATTGATTGGACATGATTTGGAAAGACACACACCTATCTATATAAGGTCCCCCAGTTGACAATGCATGTCAGAGCAAAGACCAATCCATGAGGTCAAAGGAATTGTCCGTAGAGCTCCGAGACAGGATTGTGTTGATTCACAGATCTGGGGAAGGGTTCCAAAAAATGTCTGCAGCATTGAAGGTCCCTAAGAACACAGTGGCCTCCATCATTATTAAATGGAAGAAGTTTGGAACCACCAAGACTCTTCCTACAGCTGGCAGGCCGGCCAAATTGAGCAATCGGGGGAGAAGGGCCTTGGTCACAGAGGTGACCAAGAACCCGATGGTCACTCTGACAGAACTCCAGAGTTCCTCTGTGGAGATGGGAGAAACTTCCAGAAGGACAACCATCTCTGCAGCACTCCACTAATCAGGCCTGTATGGTAGAGTGGCCAGACGGAAGCCACTCCTCAGTATAAGGCACATTGCAGCCTGCTTGGAGTTTGCCAAAAGGCAACTAAAGGACTCTCAGACCATGAGAAACAAGATTCTCTGGTCTGATGAAACCAAGATTGAACTCTTTGGCCTGAATGCCAAGAGTCACGTCTGGAGGAAACCTGGCACCATCCCTATGGTGAAGCATGGTGGTGGCAGCATCATGCTGTGGGGATGTTTTTCAGCGGCAGGAACTGGGAGACTGGTCAGGATCGAGGAAAAGACGAACGGAGCAAAAGTACAGAGAGATCCTTGATGAAAATCTGCTCCAGAGCACTCAGGACCTCAGACTGGGGCGAAGGTTCACCTTCCAACAGGACAACGACCCTATGCACGCAGGAGTGGCTTCGGGACAAATCTCTGAATGTCCTTGAGTGGCCCAGCCAGAGTCCGGACTTGAACCTGATCTAACATCTCTGGAGAGACCTGAAAATAGATGCAGCGATGCTCCCCATCCAACCTGACAGCGCTTGAGAGGATCTGCAGAGAAGAATGGGAGAAACTCGCCAAATACAGATGTGCCAAGCTTGTAGTGTCATACTGTCATGAGAATTTCTATCTCTAATTCAACCTAAGCTTGAATCATTACCAGGGGTTGTAAGGCTCTGGTTATAATCATAAATGATTCAAGGTCCACAACCAGCAAGAATGATCTGTATTTTTAATCATGGAGAGCTCTGGCGCCAAAAAACATACATACAGCTTTATACCCCTTGATACACAAAGGCACTTTGCTCCGCCCACCTTTAGGAGGCTTTTTTTAACCCGTTTTCTCAGTCCCCTTCACCCTGGAATGTTTAGTCCCGCCCCCCTCTGTTAGTGGGTTGCCACTACATTATAACTCTAACACCGTTCACACATTTATACTGTATTTGGGGTGAAATCCTTTAGTCATTATTCTTAAAATACAAATTAATCTATCACATACCCAAGAAGACTGAAGGCTGTAATCGCTGCCAAAGGTGCTTCAACAAAGTACTGATTAAAGGGTCTGAATACTTATGTAAATGTGATATATTTTCTTATGTTCTTTTTTTTTTAGCTAAAATGTCTGAACCTGTTTTTGCTTTGTCATTGTGAGGTTTTGTGTGTAGATTGATGAGGGGGGGAAAAAACAGCTTAATCCATTTTAGAAATAAGGCTGTAACGTAACAAAATGTGGAAAAAGTCAAGGGGTCTGAATACTTTCCGAATGCACTGTAGATACATTTATCAACAAAAAAACGGTGGGTGTGTTCATGTTACAAAGGCAAAACATTTTATGCTGTAAATATCATATTGATGTGCTTATAAAGACAGTACACCTACACATACCTAGCAAATAAAAGTTCTAACCAGAACTAGAATGGCATCGATTTGTCTATTTGGCCAAATCTAAGGATTTGGCTTTCTAACCACACACTGACATTCACAGCTGTCTGGGTGAGGTTCTGTCTTCAAGTCTCCAGTGGTTGATTAAGTCCCTTCCATTTATGTAATGTATTACAGGTTATAGACAGTGCAGTCAGGTGGCAGGAGGGGTGGAGTGCATGACACCATCCTGGATATGACAGAGTTTGCCTCAACCCATCGGGTCCATCAGGCAAAGGCAAATACCCCATAATGTCAAAGTGAATTATGTTTTTACAAATTAATAAAAAATGAAAATAAGTATTCAACCCCTTTGTTATGGCAAGCCTAAATAAGTTCAGGAGTAAAAATGTGCTTAACATGTCACATAATAAGTTGCATGGACTCACTCTGTGTGCAATAATAGTGTTTAACATGACTACCGCATCTCTGTACCCCACACATACAATTATCTGCAAGGTCCCTCAGTCGAGCAGTGAATTTCAAACACAGATTCAACCACAAACACCAGGGAGGTTTTCCAATGCCTCGCAGAGCAGGGCACCTATTAGTAGATGGGTAAAAAAAGCAGACTGAATATCCCTTTGAGCATGGTGAAGTTATTCATTAGTCTTTGGATGGTGTATCAATACACCCAGTCACTACAAAGATACAGGCGTCCTTTCTAACTCAGTTGCCGGAGAGGAAGGAAACTGCTCAGGGATTTCACCATGAGGCCAATGGTGACTCAAAAACAGTTAGAGTTTAATGGATCAACAACATTGTACACTACATGACCAAAAGTATGTGGACACCTGCTCGTCGAACATCTAAATTCAAATCATGGGCATTAAAATGGTGTTGGTCCCCATTTACTGTTATAACAGCCTTCACTCTTCTGGGAAGGCTTTCCACTAGATGTTGGAACATTGCTGCGGGGACTGAAGTTGGGCGATTAGGGCTGGCTCGCAGTCGTCGTT